TTATATGTATTTGTGTGAATGTGCGTCCAGTGCCACTTCCAAAACGAAACGCCGCGTGATTTTCCTGGACATCGGTCAGTCATGAAGCAGATGGTCCACAGTTCACTTCCGTTGAAAAAAACTTCCTTCCGTCCGTCCTCAGTGAATAACAACACTTCCCGTAACCGTGAAACATTTATTCAATGTCAAGGTGAAATCGTCATTTAGTGTCACAACTCGCGTGTCTCGTTGTCTTTACGGATTCAATCATGTTCTCCAGGAAAAATCTGAAAAGATCCGGTATGTTAATATTTTTCGTTCAATCTATTTATTTTTAATGAGAAAATAATTTTGTAATTAATAATTTGGCAACTGGTAATTTTTGTCAATTAATATTTAATAATTTGGCAATTAATAATAAATAATTTGGCAATTAATAATTAATAATTGGTAATTAATAATTTTGTATTCTAACCAAATAGAAAATATTCCTTATTGTCGATATTTTTTTCGAATAATTTTTTGTATATTTTTCGATTAATCTTTTTTTATTTACTATTTTTCTACCTATGTATTATTATTTTATTTCTATTTCTTTATTTCGTTTTTGCTTCCTCATAGGGGAAGGATTGAATTTTACTTCTTTTTTCTTATTTATTTTATTTCTATTTATTTCGTTTCTATTTATTTCATTTCTATTTATTTAATCTTTACTTCTTTTAAATAATTGAACAAAAGTAATTGTAGAAACTTATTTATTATTTTTTCAATTTACTCATTATTGAACTAGTGAGTGTTAATTTTTCTTTATCAATTTTCCCATTTGAATAATATCGATTTCAATTAATTGTCACACAAATGATAACAATTTGAATACTGCCAAAAAAATAAATATTTGCAAAAATAGAAAAAGCTAGGTGATAAATTATTGTAATCAAAAACAATGTAATGAAATTATGAATCAAGTAAACATGCGAAGATGCACACCTGAGTGAATAAATGTTCCAGGAAAAAAAATAGAAAATATGAAACAATGAGAAAAACTGACGTCCATTAGAAAAGAAGACCTAATAATTTCAGAAACAAAAAAAAAATGATAACTAACAGTGAAGAGAAATTTTATTTTCAATTTAATTATTCTCCGTTCTTAATTGTTTACAAAAAAAATATTTAACATATATAGTTTTAAAAAATTCTAAATCCCAAACAATAATATTCTAAACAAACTATACAAAATAAATGAAACCAAAATATTTTATTTCCTCGTAAATTAAAAAATGTATTCTCCTATTTTTGTAATATTTAGGTACTTTTTTCAAATTATTGAATTTGTAAATGTGGAAATTTTTAAGTGACGCGAAAAAGTGTTAGACATAAAAATTATAAAATCAGTCTCTATGGAAATAAATAAAATATATTATAAAAAAATGTATTAATTAGAAATCAAATAAAATTATACAAAAAGAAAAATAAAGTTATAAAAACTACAGAAAAAATTATAAAATAAATTTTCTGTTCGCTTAATCGAAATAATTTCTTGAGCATAAAAATTAATTTGTTAAAAATAATAAAAATCGTTCAATTTTTCAGTAAACAAAAGAAAAATCCATTGTTAAATTAAAAATAATGAAAATTATTAAATTGTTCAGTAAACAAAAGAAAAATTCATTGTTAAATTAAAAATAATGAAAATTATTAAATTGTTCAGTAAACAAAAGAAAAATTCATTGTTAAATTAAAAATAATAAAAATTGTTAAATTGCTCACTAAACAAAAGAAAAATTCCACTATAGCATCTAATTCGACTTAATTAAACAGTTGAGGAGCATTTAAATAATGAAATTGAATTTAAATAGCGACATTAATTAAGAATTAAAGAAGATGTTTTGCTAAATAATTACTAATTAAAATGATAATTTGTTATTACAATCAGTAAAGCGTGTATGATCAAAAAACGCTTAGTACAGCTTATATTATAGATTAAAGTGTGAACATGCGCGCCTCTCAGAGAATGAACTTTTAAAAACGATTTTACTCATTAACGATATAAAAAGGAAAAGAGAAACGCGTTACGATTTTCATGCTTCGGATGATCTTAATTTGACGGATAGTAATTTGAAACTGTATATTGTTGAGAGATTATACAAAGATTCATTTATAGTGACTTTATTCAAGTTTCTGGATATTCGATCAATTAAATTTAATCCGCATTATTACGTCTTCTTTTCTTTCCTGGAGAAAAAAAAGTTCATAAATAATTGTCAGTAGTTTGTGGAAAAATTTCGAAGTAATTTAAAGAAAAAGAAAAAAAACGAAAATAATTTTTTTTTGAAAAATTTTAAACACACAAAAAAAAAGAATTAATAAAAAAAAGGAAAATGATAAAAGTTAGTTTCTAAAAGTGCAAGGAATCTAATTAATCTAAACTCTAAAATTAAGATGATTAAGACAAAAATCTAAACAATCGTATTAAAATTTAAAAGCTTTCTCAAGAATTAGTTTTTAATTATATCTTATTATAATTATCCTATTATTTATCTGATAATTATATCTTTTTTTTGTCTCCATTATATTTATTAATATTCTACCATTATTTTTTTTTTTGAAAATGTGTCTCATTAACGATGAATTGATTAGTTCGTATATATTTTAATAAGCTCTAAATACTAGGCTGCGTATTAAAAAGAGGGTAATAAATATTTTTTTAAAAATAGGACGCGAATGCGTCAAATTAAATAGAAAGAATTGATTACTGAATTTTGAATATTTGGTTTTTTTTAAAGAAAACGAATTAACAACAGTTATCTAATTAACAACGGTATTTTCTTTACGAAAGTAAATTGTATTTTTCAGAATGCGTAAGTCAAACGTTTAAAATCAGTATTTTTATGTGTCTCTAACAGTTATTCCAAAACATAAACGTTCATTGCCCAAAGAATGAGCTCGAAACCGAAATAAAAATGTACGAAACATTATTTTTTAAAGACAGTCTTTGAAAACAGTTTCTTTTTTCTTAGGATGATAATATTTGTAAAATTGACATTAAAATAATATATCTTAATCTAAAAAATTGCACAAAAAATGCAACGATTATATTAATAGATACTAAATAAATTTCTAAATTACAAAAAATTTGCAAATAAATCAAGAATTTAATTTTCAAAAAATATTCGATAAATATTTGAACAACAAGAATAAAGATATTTTATTATTTAAATTTAAAAAAAACAAAATTTTGCTACTAAAAGGTTGACAAAAATATTTAATTTTGTTTTTTTACCGAATTTTTCTTTGATTTTGAAACAATAATATTTATTTTAATTAAAAATTTTATATTATTATTATTAGTTTTCTACGGGAAATAAGATTTTTAAATATTTAAAAATTCAAATTTTCTGAAATTCAATTATATTTACAAAAATTACAAATGCAACTTTTCTAAATTATTTTTTATTAATTAAATTTTCCACAGAAAATAAAATTTTTTGAAATTTCAATTTTTAAATCCTCTGAAATTCAATTATTTATAAAAATTACAAACACAACTCTTCTTAATTATTTTTAATTAATTAATTATTATTAATATTATATTAATTAAACATTCAGTGAATTATTTGTTGAATTTTCAAAAATAATTTAGAAATAATCATTTTATGAAAGTTCTACAAGAATAAAATTGTTTAAAATAAATTGAATTTCAAATTCTTTAAAGTTCAATATTTCTGACCTTTCCTTGATTTCAAGACAGAAATTTGATTTTTTTCCCGACCCTAAAGATTATTCTCATTCACTCTAAAAGATATCCTTCTCACTCTAAAAATGCAATAGTAAAATTATTTTGAAATATCAATAATTTTTTTTAATTAAGAATTTAATATCATTATTATTTTTCCACTGGAATTAAGATCGTTAAAAATTTTTAATTTAATATGAGAATTCAATTTCAAGAAACATTCAATAAATTATTTATTTTTGTATTTGAATTTTCCATACTTTTAACTAACAATTCTTTAGAACTAATTTTTTTGAAAAAGTTTAATTCAATTTTGTTGAAATTATTTGAAGTTTTTATTATATCCTTAAATTAAAGAATTTCCTAATAATTGAAATTTCACGTAAAATTGAGTTGTACAAATGGATTTGAAAATTCTCAAAGAATTTTTTTTTTAAATTATTGAAAATAATTTATTTAAAGAAGAATATTAGGTAAAAATTCTAGAAATGATGAAAATAATTTTGCAAAAGTTACAGTAATAATATTCTTATAATATAAAATAATAATTTTATCACTCGATCATCTTTAATTATTATAAGTTGTTGAATTTGAAAATGGTTTGAATTTGAATGTGTTTGAAGAATTTTAATTCCTAATGGAAAAATAATAATGATTAAATATTTATTTAAAAAAAAATTATTGATGTTTCGAATAAATTTACAATTGAGGATATTTGCCAATAAATGTATCAAAAAACATTTTCTTGTGTAACGAATAATTTTTTGAGTGAATCCAAATATTTTTTAGAGCCAGGAAAAAAGTCAAAATTCTATCTTGAAATCAGGAAAAAACAAAATCAAATTTTCCTGTCAACTCTGAAAGAAAATAATTTAAGAATTATTTAAGCGTTTAATTAAACGCTTTTAATATTTTCAAATGTTACTGGTCAGCAAAAAACTGGAATTTTCTTTCAAATTCTAGAAATTTAATACTTTTTTCAGTAATTCTGATGAAAATTCGTTGACTTTTCCCTGACTTGTGACAACCTTGTACTAAAAATAGAATTTTTTTTGTTATAAATATCGACAAAAGTTCAAAAAAGCAAAAAATTTGTTTTCTTAATACCTTTGAAAAATTTTGTTCCAATTTCTTTTCATTCATCTTTCAATTTTCAGGAGGTGAGAAGCCGGAGAAATTGATATTAACGGAAGTGTCTCATTTACCAAGAGTTGGATAGCCAGATCTCAGAAGCCACAAAAGATTCTCATTAAAAAAAAGAAGAAGAAGAAAAAGAAAAAGAAGCAGGATGTCGTGTTGTGACGATGGTTTCCGATTGGCCGAAGCACCGTCAGTGTGCTCAATGAAAAGTAAAGCACAAATCGATGCTCTTTTCGATGAGTTAAGGTCCATCTGCAGCTCAGCTAATGGAGGCTGGTATCCGATAATTGCAAACGGAGTTGATCATGATTCAGAGGACATCAGCTCCGAGGAGCAGAGGAAGATCAACAACGCTGTCCAGGCTCGTATCGAGTCGATGTTCGCTTCTGTGGAGGCCGAAAGCGGAACACCTGGAGAATGTGCTGCTGCAATTTTACCGGTAAAAACAACCAAACGCCAGATGTTTTCTTCTGCAATTTTTTTTCCTTCTTTTTTCCACTATTTATCATGAGTATATAAAACGGTTTGTGCAATGAGTCCTTAATAGTGTATTTATAAAATGACGCTCGTTCCATATACCGCTATACTAATCCATCATTTATAGCTTGGCAGATTCCTCTCGCATCACCAGTTTCCCTGAAATCAGACATATTTGTTAATTCCTCTCTCTTTCGACTCAGAATCTCGTTTTCATCTGTGACGACAATCTCGTTAAAAGATTGATCAACTTCTATCTTTGGTGAAGATCATTACGTTACAAAGAAAAGTGGAGAATTTTTCCTTTTCCTTATTCAAGAAACAAATTTCTTTCCATACTCTCAATTATTATTTTGTTTTATCAATTTTTCTCTCAACGTCAATAATTTCTTGATTTTTAAAAAAATTACAAATACTAGTAAATTTTACATTTTTAAATGTAAACATCAATTTTTGAATATAGTTTCAGAATCAAAATTTTAAAAATTCACTTATTAAGTACATAATTAAATATTCTTCAATTTAATTATTCTTAAAAATTTTCAAATTCTTTGCAAGAATTCAATTATTTTTATAAACATAATCAAATTCTTCTTAAGAATTCAATTATTTTCAATACAATTTTTATAAAATTTCTCGAATGGTTTCAATTATTTTCAAAAATTTTAATAAAATTTTTCTAAAAAAGTTCAATTATTTTCAAAACAATTTGAATGAAATTTCACGAAACGATTCACAATTATTCAAAATTTTTTTTTAAAAAATTGTTGGAAAGAATCCAATTATTTCCTAAAATTTCCATCAAATTCTTCGCAGAATTTCAATTATTTTTATAAATAATAAAATTTTTCTTAGGAATTCAATTATTTTTAATACAATTTTAATGAAATTTTTCGAATTGGTTCAATTATTTTACAAAATTGTAATAGAATTTTTCTAAAAAAAATGCAATTATTTTCAAAATAATTTTAATAAAACTTCACGAAAGGATTCAATTTTTTAAAAAAAGTATTAATGCAATTTTTCGAAAGAATTCAATTATTTCCTAAAATTTCTATAAATTTCTTCGCAAGAAATCAAATATTTTTATAAATAATAAAATTCTTCTCAGAAATTCAATTATTTTTTAGAAAATTTTAATAAAATTTCTCTAAACGAGTTCAATTATTTTTAAAAATTAAAAATAGAATTTTTCTAAAAAATTCAATTATTCTCAGAAGTTTTGATGAAATTCTTAATAGATTTTCATCATTTTCAAAATTTTCAATTAAAATTATTTAAAAAAACTACAGTATGTTTAAGAAATTTAAAGTAATTCTTAAAAAAAAATTAATTATTTACAAAGACTAATAAAATTGTTTAAAAAAATTTAATTTTCTATAAATAATTTTAATGAAATTAAATATAATAAAATTATTAATTACAATTACTAACAAAATTGATTACATTTTTAAAAAATTATGAAACTCTTTATAAAATTCAATTATTTTCAGGATTTTAAATTTTTTCTATTTAATTAAATTCTATGAAGGAATATAATTTTTTTAATTAATAAAATTCTTTGCAGAAATTTAATTGTTTTGAACACAATTTAAAAACATTTTTCGAAAGAATTTAATTATTAATTCAAAAGTTTTAATAAAATTCTTTGCAAATTTCAATTACTTTGAAGATTTGAAAATTAAAATTATTAAAAAAAATTTTTTTTTTTAATTTTCACGAAATTTTTTATTATTTTTACGAGATTCAAAAACAATTTCAAACAAATTTAAAAATTTTTAGAAATTAATAAAATTGTTTAAAAGAATTTAATTTTCTATAAATAATTTAAATGAAATTAAATATAATAAAATTATTAATTACAATTATTTATTGAAAACTCCATTATTTTCAAAAACATTCAAATAAATTATTCAAACCAAATCAATTAATTTTAAAAATTTTAATGACATTGTTTTGAGGAATTCGATTCTTTTCATAAATAATAATATTTTTTGCGATAGTTCAATTTTTTTCAATTCAATTTAAAAAAAAATTTCGAAAGAATTCAATTTTTTTCAAAAGTTTTAAGAAAATGTTTTGAAGGAATTTAATTATTTTCAAATTGTTTGATAAATACTTTTCAAGAATTCAATGAATTTCAGTACATTAGTTTAAAAATTCAAAACATTTAAAAAGGAAAATTATTTTTCTCTCATCATTAATAATTTTTCTATTGTCAAAAAAAAATTCTTATTTTTATTATAGAAAACAATCATTTTTCACATACAATTAAAATTGTTTTTCAGTTTCTAAACTATCGAAACATAAAAGTATATATTTTATATCTAAATTGATATCCATTTCTTTCTCTCTCTCATAAACTAATTAATATCTCAAATCGTACAAAGATGATGAAAAATGATATATAGAAAAATTAGTTTCTTTCATGTTAAATTACGTTGAACTGATTGAGAAATGAAAGTCATTTAACGTGGTAACAATTTTAATAATCTTTTGAAAAAAAACCCTGAAAGTCCATATATACTTTCACTGATACATAATTAAAATTGGATCAGAGAATAAAAAAGAAAAAAAAAACTTGTAGGTCATTCTGACTGATTGCGGGTAACCAAGCGAAAGATACATGTAAGTTCAAGTAAAATGGAAAATATTAAAATTTTTGACTTAATTAGGTGGACCGATGCAATCTCGTAACCGGTTATTCCCGAAGACGAAAAAAAAATCGGTTCCAAAAAGTAATAAGGGGTTAAGAGGACATGGGAAACCGGTCGAAATGTGGCTCATAAAAAGCAGATCATTCTTTTCTTTCAAGTGAAATATCAAATATCGCTTTGTATTTAACCTTCGTGTATTTATCAACAGGGAGAGATAAACAAACAAAATATTGTAAAAATCATGCTATTATATTGTCTTCGTATTAAAGTCAAATAATTGAACTCAAATAAAATAATAGAACAGAAATAAAATAATTGAATTGAAATAAAATATTTGAACTAAAATAACATAATTGAATTGAAATAAAATATTTGAATTGAAATAAAATAATTGAATTTAAATAAAATAGAAATATTAGTCTTTAAAATTAAAAAGAAAAATGTGAACAATTTCGAAATGGAAATAATTCATAATAATAAAACCGTTTTTGTAAACAAAGAAAGAATTTTAAATTGATTAGAAGATTTTTAATAACAATGACTTATGAATAATTGACAATGTAAATTGCTACTTCCGGATAATTCGAAATTCTCATTGTCATCAGCAAATAGCTCGCGATACAATTTCACTTATGCTAATTGCAATGAAATCTCAACATTTCTCTTCCCCGGAAATTATTATACCTTAAACGTTCAAATAATAGCAACGAATTTCATTATCAATTAAATTCCCTTAAGCGTTCGCCAAGTTCATATTTTTTTTAATAATTATTTTGTATTCTAACGAGATTGACACAAAAATGTTGTTTCTCTTTTTCTCTGATTTTTCTATCATTACTTATTTATTATTATCACTATTTTCTACTATTTGAAAAAATTAATTACTGCCATTAACTTCACTCTATTATTTACAAATATTACAATAAAATTCTTTTAAAAAACTTCAATTCTTTTTAATAGAATTTCAGAAGATTTCAATTCTATTTCTAAAATTTTCAATTATTTGTTTATAAAAATACAAAAAATTAAAATCTTTAAACAATAAAATTGAAATATATTTATATCCTAATTTTTGCGAATTTATTAAAAACTTTACGAAATTTTGATTTAAAAAAAATATTCTAAATTTAAATCTCTTTAAAATTAACTAATTAATCAAAATTCTTAAAAAGAAAACTGATTCGAAATTAAATTATTTTAAATGCAATTTGGACCCTTAAATTTTTCTATTTAAATAAGATTTCAAATTTTTAAATTAATGTATTTAAAATATAAAAATACTTATTAACAATTTTATCAAAATTTTTTTTAAATAATTCAATTCTTTAGAGAAATTTTATTAAAATTGTATTGAAAATTGTATTAAAAATTAATTCAATTCTTCTGAAGAATTTTTTTCCATTTTTGAAAGTATGGTTGATTGTTTAATAATGAACGTTAATTCAAAATGTTAAAAATTATTGATTTTCAAGAAGAATTTCTTTACAGATTTTAATAAAATCGTGCATGTTAATAATTGCAATTCAAAATTTGATTTTTAAATGTTACAACAATTTTTTTGAAAATAATATAGAATTCTTTCCAGTATTTCTGAAATTAATTAAATTTTTTAGAAAAATTCTATTATAATTTTTGTAAATAAATCGAATCCATTCGAGAAATATTATTAAAAATTGTATTGAAAATAATTGAATTCCTATGAAGAATTTTATTATTTGAAAAAAATAATTCAATTCTTGCGAAGAATTTTATTCAATTTTCTAAAAATAATTGAATTCTTTCCAGTATTTCCTTAAATTTTTTGAAAATAATTGAATTCTTTCCAGTATTTCCTTAAATTTTTTGAAAATAATTGAATTCTTTCCAGTATTTCCATAAATATTTTAAAAATAATTGAATTCTTTCGAAAAATTTTATTAAAAATTTTTTTAAATAATTAAATCTTTTCGTGAAATTTTATTAAATTGTTCTGAAATTAATTAAATTTTTTAGAAAAATTCTGTTATAATTTTTAAAAATAAATCGAATCCATTCGAGAAATTTTAATAAATAAAAATTGTATTGAAAATAATTGAATTCCTACACGGAGAGAAAAAACAAGGCTTTTCCCTGTGACTTCAATTCATGCCTTTTTCAGGTAGCAGTTTCACCGGATTTCCCGATGAATTTCTTGCGTTTAGCGGTTAGGCCATGCCTTAGCCCCTATTGGCCTTAGCTCGTTGCAAGAATCTCACCGGGAAAACCCGTGAGCGTCCTGCATTTTTACTGTGATAATTTTCACGCGTTAAATGCATATTTTTTCATA